CTGGAATTGGCATATGACCCACACACATTCTCTAGATGACTTATAATACCTAGTGTAATATAAATCTTTGTAAAAAGTCATTATACTTTGTTGTTCAGAGAATAATGACACAAGTCTGTGCTAGTGCAGTGTGATTCTTAATAAGCATTGTCAGGTTGTGTGTGTTTGTGTGTGTGTGTGTGTGTGTGTACTAGAGCTTGAACTGAAGGCCTGTGTGATGTCCCTTAGCTTTTTTTGTTTGTTCATTTTCGGTGATTGTCTTGGGGCTTGAACTCAGGGGCTGGGCACTGTCCCTGAGCTTTCTAACGCTTGCGCCACATCTCTACTTTTGGCTTTTGGGTAGTTCATTGGAGATAAGAGTTTCATAGACTTCCCTGCTTGGACTGACTTTGGACCTTAATCCTCAGATCTCAGGCTCCTGAATAGCTAGAATTATAGCTGTGAGCCACCAGTGCCTGACTTACAAATGTCTTTTAAACACATGAGTGTAGTTAAGTGACGTCAGTCAGGCTCAGATAGACAGTGGTGCGTGTTTTCTCTCATATGTGGAAGCTGGATCTAAGATGCCCTGGCACACGATAAATTATACAGGACTTCACACACCACGAGACCAAAGGAGGACACCCCAGAGGAGGAACACAAAGGTGCGATGCCACTGTGCTTCTGATCGTATAAAATCGTGTTTATTGAAATGAAAATAGAAAACCCATCTGAGTGTGTAATTCACCTGGTCTCTTGTGCATCTCACATCCCCTCCACGAAACCATGTTCACTGCCTTCCCACGCTGCCTTCCCACGCTGCATCTCACATCCCCTCCACGAAACCATGTTCACTGCCTTCCCACGCTGCTTTCCCACGCTGCCTTCCCACGCTGCATCTCACATCCCCTCCACGAAACCATGTTCACTGCCTTCCCACGCTGCTTTCCCACGCTGCCTTCCCACGCTGCATCTCACATCCCCTCCACGAAACCATGTTCACTGCCTTCCCACGCTGCCTTCCCACGCTGCCTTCCCACGCTGCATCTCACATCCCCTCCACGAAACCATGCTCACTGCCTTCCCACGCTGCCTTCCCACGCCTCCTTCCCACGCCGCCTTCCCACGCCGCCTTCCCACGCTGCCTTCCCACGCTGCATCTCACATCCCCTCCACAAAACCATGTTCACTGCCTTCCCACGCTGCCTTCCCACGCCTCCTTCCCACGCCGCCTTCCCACGCCGCCTTCCCACGCCGCCTTCCCACGCTGCATCTCACATCCCCTCCACAAAACCATGTTCACTGCCTTCCCACGCTGCCTTCCCACGCCTCCTTCCCACGCCGCCTTCCCACGCTGACACCTTGTCACCAGCCGTCCTGGTGCCGTGCTCGAGAGCCGGGCTTGAGCCGGACCTGGCCGCGTGCTCTCTGCAGGCGTGCGGGCTGGGAGTCACTGCCCCCTGCTTGCTTGTGGAAGGGGCCAGCCCACCCCTCCCCGGCAGGCTGGCTAAGACGGTCAGGGTTGAGGGCATGAGGGTGGCCGGGGGCGGGGGGAGAGGAAGGGAGGGTTTGTGGTGGGTAGAATGGGGCTCAGGGTGGGCACTGCAGCACCCAGGCTGTCCAGGATGGCTGAACTGACGGGGGCTGAGCTCTGGGCCTCCTTGTGGCTTGGGGCTGGAGGCCGAGTGGTCTGCACACTCCTTCCAGGGCTGCCTGGGTGTGGTGTGGAAAGGAGGGCAGGAGGCTGGGGCCAGGAGGCCGGCAACAGTGTACTCTCAGCATACTCAGGACGTCCCCAGCCCTCACTGCATCCCAGTCTTCCTTCTGTGGACAGTAACACTGAGGTGGCACAGGTAGAGAGTTCATACGGCCAGACCCCACAGACCCACGCAGCCAGACCACACACAGCCACGCAGCCAGACCACACACAGCCACACAGCCAGATCCCACAGACCCACGCAGCCAGACCACACACAGCCATGCAGCCAGACCCCACAGACCCACACAGCCAGACCCCACAGACCCACACAGCCAGAACACAAACAGCCACACAGCCAGACCCCACAGACCCACACAGCCAGACCACACACAGCCACGCAGCCAGACCACACAGACCCACGCAGCCAGACCCACAGACCCACACAGCCAGAACACACACTGCCACACAGCCAGACCACACAGACCCACGCAGCCAGACCCCCAGACCCATGCAGCCAGACCATACACTGCCACGCAGCCAGACCACACACTGCCACGCAGCCAGACCACACACAGCCATGCAGCCAGACCCCACAGACCCACACAGCCAGACCCCACTGATCCCACAGACCCAGGCAGCCAGACCCCACAGACTCCCACAGACCCATACAGCCAGACCCCACAGACCCCCACAGCTAGACCCCACAGACCCACACAGCCAGACCACACAGACCCACACAGACCCACACAGCCAGACCCCACAGACCCCCACAGCTAGACCCCACAGACCCCCACAGACCCACGCAGCCAGACCCCACAGATCCAGGCAGCCAGAGCCCACAGAGCCACATAGGGCACACTTGGAAACAGCCTCGGTTTGGCCTGGCCACTGCACTGGAGACCCTGGGGTCCCGCCATGCCAGCGCAGGGAAAGCTTTGTGCAGGGCTTCCCCAGCCTGCGTGGCACACCAGTCACGCAGCCTTTCCTGAGACAGGAGCTGTTTTTACACGTGTGCTGTTCCTGGAGCTTGTTCCTTGGCTTTTTCACTCAGGTCTGGCACTCTGCCACTTAAGCCCCAGCTTCACTTCTGGCTTTTTGGCGTCTCATGGACTTTCCAGCCTGCACTGGCTTGAACCATGATTCTTACGTCTTGGCCTCCTGCGTAGCTAGGATTTCAGGCTCGAGCCACTGGTGCCCGGCTGAAGCAGCTCATTTTGCATATGTGGACACCAAGTTCTAGGAAGAAAGGTGACCTGCCCGAGGCTTCTCTGTGTTTGGGTGACGGGCCTCCTGGGAGCCAGGGTGAAGAGTTCTGGACGGGTGGGTGGCCGGCAGGTCGGGACGGAGCCTGATGCACCCAGAGGGCAGAGGAGCAAGGAGGCAGCGGTGAGGCTTCACTGAGGACACCCCTGCAGGGCGGGTGGGGGAGAGGAGAAGCGGGCTGTGGTGTGGGAGGCCTGGGCTGTGGGGCTGGGGCTTGCACAAAGGCTCTCAGCTCCGTGCCCACCGGGAAGGGCTCTCAGAGCTGGTCTGTGGCCTTGCCCTGCTCTGGCACACCTCTTTCCCGAGGAGGCAGGAATCTCCACAGGCCTGACCCGCCACCTGTGGAGAGTCTGTGCCTGCTGCCCTGCACCTGGCCAGGGCTGTGGAGGCTGCGGCCCTTGGGCTGCTGTTTCTGGACACTTGCTGGTGTCACCCACCATATTTGGGTGGGGACCAAACCCAAAGTTTGGCCAAAACTGCAGGAGCCGGTGTGAGAGCTGAGTGGTTGAGCAGAGCCCAGGGCCTGAGTGTGGCGAGTGTGAGCCCTCAGAGTCTGCACATCTGCAGAGGAGTCTGGACGCCCAGCTGTGAGCAGGGCCTGGTGGCCAGGACCCAGGGAGGCTGTGGGATCTTCCCCATTCCACCCCAAACCTGCCCAGCCATCTGTCTCTGGCTCCAGTGGAAGCCTGATCCCTCCCTCTGCACTGCCTCGTCCACCCTTCCCTCCAATCTTTTAGCCTCTCCACCCCAAACAACCAGAGCTCTGTGAGCTTCAGTCCCAGGACCGGTAGAATCAGGTGGCTCAGTGGTAGAGCGCTTGCCTTGCATGCATGAGGCCCTGGATTTGGTTCCTCAGTACCACATAAGCAGAAAAAGCCGGCAGTGGCACTGAGGCTCAAGTAGGAGAGTGCTAGGCTTGAGCTGAAGAGCTGAGGGACAGCACCCAGGCCCAGAGTTCAGGCCCCACGACCGACAAAAAAAAGAAAAAGAATCAGCCCGAAGTTCAAGGACAGAGAGGAAAATGGGTGTGTCTGCCATACCATAGTGGCCTGGTGAGTTGGGGACCGAGTGGTTTGAGTGCTTATGTCCCCGCAGGTCTCCCTGAGGCCCCCGTCCCTTGTCCACCCAGGTGGCCCTGAGGCTCCCATCCCGTGTCCCTGCAGTCACCCTGAGGCCCCTGTCCCGTGTCCCCCAGGTCACCCAAGATCCTGTGCTCAGTGGGTGATCTTTGGGTGGTGGGCTGTTGCGTGTGGACCAGGCTGTGGAGATGGAACCAGCGATCTCCTTCAGTTGCTGGGACACCTCCCCACCACCAAACCTCTGCTGGACACTGGCTAGGGTGGCGGAGAGCCGATGGCCTGCATCACCCCAGGGGCCGCTTTTTGCCCCATCAGAGCAAAGCCCTGCCCCAGCATAGAGAGGGTGTGGGCACTGTGCCCAGCGAGGGGTGGGACGGCCCCTGGGGCTCAGGGAGGAGCGGGCTGTGCCAGCCAGCAGGCCACACCACGGTCTCCTGTCTGTTCAGGGAACGCATGGCCTGAGGTGTTATCTCTCCCCACCCCATAGACAGGTACACCAACAGGTGCTGAGTGAACAGCTTTATTAGGTGTTTAAAGGACAGATATTGGAGCTGCTAGAGGCTCCGGGGGGAACAGGGATGGTGTTGGGGGAGCAGCAGGCTTGGGAAGGAGGGACAGAGTTGAGGGGACAGTGGGGGGATGGAGGACCACACCCGGAGAGCGGGCAGGGCATGTATTCAGGGGAAATTATTCTTCTTGAAGAAAAAGAGCCATGATGATGATGCTTCTTGTCAGGAGACTGAAGAGCTAGCTTGTGTGTGGTGGAGCAGGGGGAAGAGGGGGAGGTAGAGGACACGTTGAGGGGTATGAGGAAGGCTAGGCAAAACCTTGGCTAGCACTCTTGACTTCTAACCAGATGTGCTCAGTTGGTAAGAAGCTTGAAAGGCCAAAAGTCAGATCTTGCACTGGTAGCACACAGGGGCACAGCAGCTGGATGGGCAGCAGCAGGGCTTGCAACAGCTGGACTGGCAGCAGCAGGGTTAGCAACAGCTGGACTGGCAGCAGCAGGGTTTGCAACAGCTGGACTGGCAGCAGCAGGGTTAGCAACAGCAGGACTCACAGCAGCAGGGCTTGCAACAGCTGGACTGGCAGCAGCAGGGCTTGCAACAGCTGGACTGGCAGCAGCAGGGCTTGCAACAGCTGGACTGGCAGCAGCAGGGCCTGCAACAGCTGGACTGGCAGCAGCAGGGCTTGCAACAGCTGGACTGACAGCAGCAGGGCTTGCAACAGCTGGACTGGCAGGAGCAGGGTTTGCAACAGCAGGACTCACAGCAGCAGGGCTTGCAACAGCTGGACTGGCAGGAGCAGGGTTTGCAACAGCAGGATTCACAGCAGCAGGGTTTGCAACAGCAGGATTCACAGCAGCAGGGCTTGCAACAGCTGGACTGACAGCAGCAGGGTTTGCAACAGCTGAACTCACAGCAGCAGGGTTTGCAACAGCTGGACTCACAGCAGCAGGGTTTGCAACAACTGGACTGGCAGCAGCAGGGCTTGCAACAGCTGGACTTGCAGCCCCCACAGGAGCCACAGCCCCCCTTGCAGCTCCCGCAGGAGCCACAGCCTCCCTTGCAGCCCCCGCAGGAGCCACAGCCCCCCTTGCAGCCCTCACAGGAGCCACAGCCTCCCTTGCAGCCCCCGCAGGAGCCACAGCTGGAGCAGGAGCAGGAGCAGGCTGGCACACAGCAGCTCATGGTTGTGGTGGTGGAGGGTGGAGGAGGTGAGAGGAGCAGGTGGAGAGAGAGGTGAGTGGTGTGGGGCCTCCTGGCCTGGCCTTTATGTCCCTGTGGGTCAGGTGTGGACTGGGCATGAGGTCACTTCCTGGTCTGGGGCACATGGTCACTTCCTGGCCCTGGGCACATGGTCACTTCCTGGTCCTGTTTAGGGCCTCTTTCTCTTGTTTTCCTCTGGGCATCAACCCCAGTGAGCAGCCTGTGTGCCTCTAGCTGACTTTCTGTTGCCTGGCAGGTCCTGCTGTTGTCATCCTCTGTGTCCCACCAGTACCATCACTGAACTCAGAACCTCAGAATCTCACTCTGCTTTTGTGCTTATGGCTGGTCCTCTACCACTTGAGCCATACTTCCAGTGTGGCATTTTGCTGGTTAATTGGAGATTGTCTCACAGGCTTTTCTGCCCAGTCTTTGAGCCACCAGCACGCAGGTACAATTTCAGTTCTATATTATTATTATTATTATCCTCAGATCTCAGCCTCCTGAGTCCCTTGGATTACACGTGTGAGCCACGGTGTCTGGCTACAATACATCTCCATCAATGTCCGCCCATTGTTCACCCTTACCCTTAGGTTATATAGTTCTTAGGTTTTCCCCTGATCTTTAAACATAGCCCCATCCACTGTCCATTTACAATTTTCTTTGCTGTCGGTTGCAATTTCAAGCAAACTAAGCCTTGCCTAAAGCTCCGCTTACAACTGAGGGTCCTGCCTCCGGGTGCTGGGCTCACCCCGCTCCCCACTTCTCTTACAAACTGTTTTGAGCATTCTATATTTTGGTCTGGTTTTGTTTTTCCTTGACTCATTTAGGAACTCTGAACCACATTCCTCACCCAGGTTTTGTTTTTGCTTTGTTTTATGGTGGTCAAGAGGGACCTCGTGCGGCAGAAGCCGAGTCCTGCCCGGCCACGGAGCTCAGGGAAGAGTGCAGCTGCTGAAGCAGGGCTCAGGCTCCAGGGCTGTGTCCGGCTGAAGGCTCCAGCACGGCGGCCTCCTGGCCTTCTCTACCACACTGCCCCCTGCCGTCCGTTCATGCTGCCACAGGGCCCTGAGCTGGACCACATCTGTGACTTCCTCTCCTTCCTTCCCCTCCCCCCCCTCCTCCCCTTCCTTCTCCTCCTTTCCCCTCCCCTCCCTTCCCTCCTCCTCCTTTCCCCTCCCTTCCCTTCTGCCCCTGTCTGCCCTTCGGGGCGGGCGCAGCATCTTCCTTCCTGCACTGCACATTCCTGAAGCTCCAGGGCCCAGCCCCTGCTGGGAAGCGGCCCACAGGCTTGGAGTGACCTGGAGACCGTGGAGACAGTGCTCTTACAGGTAGAGGGTCCTCCTCCGTGCCTCACAGCCTCTGACTGGGTTTGTGTCTCTTGCTGGGGTGGGTGGCCTGTCTCTCCCAGTGCTGCACCCTTTTCTGTGTTTGTGCTAAGGGTTTGTTTGAGTGGGCTTTTTTTCCCCTTTACTTTTCTTCTTGTTGTTGGTATCAGAATTTGAACTCAGGGCCTCTTGCTTACTCCACCTTTCTTGGTGCCTTTCTACTATTTGAACCGTGCCCCTCAGCCAACTTTTTGCTGGTTATTTTGGAGATCAAGTATCTCAGACTTTTCTGCCCCAGTTTGGTTCAAACTGTGATCCTCCGGTTCTCAGTCTCCTGAAGTAGCTAGGATTATAGGCACGAGCACCGGCATGCGGCCTGTGTACTTAGACTCTTGGATCTGTGTGTTATATACAGGGCTTCATGGATCTGAGGTTCTTGATTTCCGGCTCACTCACCACCAGTGGGACAAATGCCTAACTACCATCCTGTCCTCTTATGTGTCTTGTGTTAATAAAGACTTAAAAGGAGATGCGGTTCAATATCAGACCTCAGGGAATCAGTAGATTATGAAGTAAACAAATCTCAGAGTTGGTCAGACCAACAGCAAGAATGGGTCACACAATCAACTAGTGATGTAGGCACCCTAGTGGAAAACGAAGCGTTAATCAAAGCAGCATCAAAAGCTTCAGCACTTCAGGATTCATTTATTAAAAAATTTCAGAGAAGCTGGGCATCTGTGGCTCAGGCTTGTAATCCTAGCCACTCAGGAGGCTGAGATCTGAGGATCGTGGTTCAAAGCCAGCCTGGGAATGAAAGTCTGTGAGACTCTTATCTTAATGAACCACCAGAAAACCAGAAGTGGTGCGGTGGCTCAAAGTGGTAGAGTGCTCGCCTTGAGCTGAAGAGCAGAGGGACAGCGCCCAGGCCCTGAGTTTAAGCCCTACAATTGACAAGGAAAAAAAAAATAGGCAGTGTCCCCTGTGGAACAAACTTGTTTTTAAAGAGCCTAACAGAAAAACTGGGTAAGGATACCATCTTTATCAGTGGAAAGTCTTAGCATTATAAAAAGTTCATTTTTCTTATGTTAAGGTAATTGTTAATGGCTTTAATTATAATTGAAGTTCCAGAAAGATTTAATTTGGGAATGTCTCTTGTTGGTCTAAAATTTCTGTGTAAAAGCTGGGTGCTGATGGTTCTTGCCTGTAATCCTAGCTACTTAGGAGGCTGGGGTCTGAGGATTATTTGAAACCAGCTGGGGCAGGAAATTTTGTGAGACTCTTACCTGCAATTAACTAGAAAAATGCTGAGAACAGAACTGTGGTTCAAGTTGTAGAGAGCTGGACTTGAGCAGTAAAGCTCAGGGACGGTGCCCAGGCCCTGAGTTCCAGCTCCAGGACCAACACACACACACACACACAATTTTTTTTGTCGGTCGTGGGGCTTGAACTCTGGGCCCGGGCACTGTCCCTCAGCTCTTCAGCTCAAGGCAAGCACTCTACCACTTGAGTCTCAGCGCTCCTTCCACACACACAAAATTGAAAGCAATAAACAGTCTGTCAAACATAAACGCTTTGTTTTATGTTTAAGACTTTTTAATGAGCACATATTCATTGTTCAGGAGAGGTTTCCTCCTGACAGACATGACTTCACTTCCATACCTCATAGAGTGCCCCCTGCTGGGCTTGCCCCTTGCCCCTCCCTCACACCCCACTTCCTCAAGCAGTGTCAGCAGGAATCATGGTTCTATTCTCCTCACACTTAGAAAGTAACCAGGCCATAACGCCCCTGTTTAACCTCTCGGTGCGTCCTCCCACCCAACAGAGCCTGTTTTACTTTCCTGTGTTCCCTGTCTTAGTGTACAGTTTCTTGGAGACTGGGTCTCCCTATGTAGCCCAGGCTGGCCTGGAACTCAGATCCTCCTGCTTCAGCCTCCCAAGTGCTGGGATTGCATCCCATGCATAGCTTCACCGAGAGCATCTGGTATATAAACTGCTCAGCACGTGTTAGATGTGCAACTGGGTGTGTACGTGAATGTCTGGTAGGCGGGGCGGTCATTTTGTAATGCATAAAAGATGCATCTTTTTGTAAGCTCGCGGGTAAGCCGTGGACTCCGTGTAAGACATGGAACCTGATTGCCATGGTTTGGATAGTGTTTATTCTGTTTTGTGGTGCCGGGAGCTGAACCCCGGGTCCCATACCTGCTAGGAAGGCACCGTACCGCTCACTGCATCACCAGGCTCTGGTCTGGGGTTTGGACGTGCCTCAAGGAGGCTGGACTCACGCCGGGGCATGTGTGGGAGTGGGCAGAAACTTCAGGAGGCTAGGTTACGTGGAAGGTTGCTCCCTGGGACACGGCTAGCCCTCGAGGGGAGCAGCGGGGTGCTGCCCCCTTTTCTCTTTGCTTTCCAGCCACCTTTTGTGAAATGGCCTCCCCGGCCATGTTTGCCACAAACCCCAAAGCGGTAGCAGCCACAGACAGAAACCTCTGAGCTCGTGGGCTAAAATCAGCCCATCTGACCTTTTGGTAGTTTGTTGGAGATTAGAGTCTCACAGATGTTCCTGCCTGGCTGGCTTTGAACTGTGATCCTCAGATCTCAGCCTCCTTACTCCTCCTAGGTGTGAGCCATGTGTGCTTGGCGGCATGGGGATCAACTTTAAAAAATCAGTCCAGTGTGGGCTGGGAAGGTGGCTCAGGGGTAGAGCGCTCGCCTCACACACAGGGAGCCCTGGGCTCCATCCCTCAGCACCACATACAAAGAGCCAGAAGTGGCGCTGTGGCTCAAGTGGTGGAGCGCTAACCTTGAGCCAAAGAAGCTCAGAAACAGCGCCCAGGCCCTGAATCCAAGCCCCAGGACTGGCAAAAAAAAAAAATCAGTCTGGTAATGTTTACTTTCAAAGTCGGACGTGTTGGCCAGCTGCTTTTCATCAAATGCTGAAACATCTTTGGTCTTCGCCTGTCCCTCCCTCCCGTTGCATCATTGGATGGAAGTTTCTCGCCTTGTTGTGCACTGAGGCTCTTGTTCTGTGTTGTGCCCAGGTCGCAGGACCCCCACCAAGAAGACCACCGAGAGTCAGACTCTACAGCTGTTTTAGGTTTTATTATGACAGGCTGCAGCTCGGGGCCCCTCCTACACTCCGACACAGCGGAGCCTAGGAGGAGAGCCCCGAGCTAAGGATTTGCAGGGCTTATAAAGGCTCACAGCCAGGTGGTTTAGCACCACGTGTTGCTCTGCTACAAACAAGCAACAAGTGGTCACTGACTCAAAACTTTAACCCTTCATTCCCCTCCCTGACTTATGGTCCTGAGACACAATCTTGTGGCTCCAGCCCAAAACTAACCTCCAACAGCTCTGGATGGCTTCAACCCATCCTGAAAAGGTATCTACAAAAACTAGCAAATATTTATATCCAAACTTTCCAGTTTTAACTTCTGTGAAGTCTACTTCCCAATACACACCTGGCCTATCTCCACGGAGGCGAGCTCCTTTTGTAACCGGTTGATTAGGGGCATTGGTGAGCTGACAGGGTTTATAATTTTTAACAATGTCCTCAGTGAGTTGATTTCCTTGCCTAATTTTTACTTCTGAGTGTCGGAGCAAGTCCTGCATTCTTCAG